AAAAAAGTCTTACATTTAGGATAAAAGAGTAGTTTTTATTTAATTTGTCTGGTTAAATCAAATACGACGTTTTGTCTTGTTTAAAGGGAAACTTTTTTTGATGTTTGGGGGACAGGTGGACGGAGAAAAGCTGCGAGTCAGGTTGTTGCTTGTGCAGCATTGACGATGTAATGGGTTCATGTTACTGTTGTCTGTGTAGGCGCCAGTGCCAACCTCCTTACCTCACTGACCACATCAAATTCCGCTTCTCATTTTACTGTATTTATTACTCTCTCTCCTTTTATTGTGACAAGACATTCTTTTTTAAAAAAATAAAAAATAAAGCCTAAAAATATATATTTGGTTCATGCTCTTTAGGAAATGTTTGGATGGAAAGCAAATTATAGCTGTAAAAAATATTTTTATAATATACAAAATAAATCGTAAAAAAATATTTTTAACTTTTTCATGTTACCAAATACCTCTAAGTGTGAGTTAGCTATATACCTTATAATAGTAAAAGCAGGGAGTATATATCACGGCATTCTTATTTTTTTAATTTGAAAAATACACTCTTCTTTTTATTCTTATTTTGAGATGTATGTTATATATTTTTTAATTTTTTTTCATAAGATAATGTTTTTTAAATATTTGAATTTTATAATTTTATGTTAATAAAATAATAAATGAATATATAATTTGACCGTTCATTAAAAGGGAGAGGGATGACTTATCACGATATTTTCTAATAATATATACATTTTCCGTCACTAAATTAATGGGGGAGTGAGATTTAACTCCTCAAATATCGATTTAAAGACAGTCATGACTTTGCCAAAAAAAAAAACTCAAAACATTAGTTGCAAATATTAATTCACACACTTGTGAATATGAATCTCGATTTAACTCGATTGCAAATGGAGAGATACTACACTTAAAAATGGAATACCTTATTTACATTTAAGACTCCAAGACTGTCGTTCTGCCACTAAATTATGGTTAGAAATATAATTTCCTGCAATGTCAAAAAAGCGATTTACATTTCAGAGTCATATGGATCTCAAGATTAGTAACGAATCACTGGGCTTTGTATCTTGGGCTGCAATATCAGGAAAAAATGCTTTAAGGGCCTTGTCCAGTCCCAAGAGAAAAAAACCACGGTGACAAAAGCTTCTCCCTCTTGCTCTCCCGGATGGCAGGGCACCGTTTGGGTGACACCCAAACCATGGTTTGGGTGATAAGTCACCCAAACACCCACTCAATTTGTACAAACCATGGTTTTGGGTCAAAACCATGATTTTGGAAAAAGCAAAAATTTTTTACTTTTGGAGAAAAAAGAGAGAGTGTGAGAGCCTATAGCTATAGAATATGTATCTTGTTATTTTTTTATAAACATATTTAATCTTATATTTTATAAATATATATACATATTAATTATTTATTAATTATATTATCTTATGTATTATTAATTATGTTAATAAAAAATATATTATTAACAATTTTATTCCTTCAAATTAAAATATATCATAAAATCTATTTTTTTCTGTAATTATCATATTAACTTTTGTCTTTTTTTTTTATAGTAATTTGTATATATAAAAAGTGCTTCTGATAACAACTATCCAAACACTCTCACTTCTCAAAATCACTTTTTCATAAAATCTATTCTTTCCAGAATCTATTCTTCCCAGAATCTATTTTTCAGAATCACTTTTCCAAACCACGGTTTGGTTTCATCCAAACACATCCTTAATTTAACAAATATTCCTTAATTTTATTAATTTTCAAGATTATATACTTATTTTTTTGGGACCCTGGAAGGACCCATTACACCAATGTATAACTGTTTACTGTAGGCCAATCAGAATCAAGACGTTATTCACTTACCGTCTGATGATTCAGAAGCAAACGGTTAATGAGTGGGTTCCACGGCATGTATTTGTGGGAGCGGATCACCCTAACTTTCCGTCTTTCTGTGAATCCGATAACTAAATAAGTAAATAGGCGTTCGCTGGGGCTAAAAAAAACCAGAAGGATGTCCTGTGCAGGGATAAAGCATAAGCAGCACAGCTATGTAGAGAAGAACAATTTTTGGTTTAATAATTATTATTTCATTAATTACCTAATACCAGTTTCGGTTCTTAGGGTCTGTTTGGGTAGCACCCCAAACCATGGTTTGGGGACCCAAACCATGGTTTGGGGAAAATGCTACCCAAACAGCCTCCAATATTTTGAAACCATGGTTTCATCTGAAACCATGGTTTTAACCTCTAAAACCTTGGTTTTGTGGAAAGCAAAATTATCTTGCTTCTGGTGCTGAAGCTTTCGCTGTTGGGTTGTCAGAAATTATTTGGACAAAAAATGCCCCTTGACTCGCTTGCGTTGTTGGCGTGGAGAAATGGTTTACGGTCATTTGGTCCTGACGCAGCAAGAGAGTGAGCCTGAAAGAATCATAAAGCGGAAAAGATAATTACTATAATAAATAATAAATTGTTTTAATGTGTGCTTATTTATTTTGTCAAAAAATATCATGATATTTCATATTTATAATCTTTAAAATAAAATAATATTTTTTTGTTGGTAAAAAATATTTATTTTTTCCAGAAACATTTTTAATCTTATATTTATAAATATATATACACATGTTAATTATTTATTAATTATGTTGGTAAAAAATATATTATTAACAATTTTGTTCCTTCAAATTAAAATATATTATAAATCTATATTTTATGTAATTATCATATTAACTTATACCCTTTTTAGTAATTTGCACATATAAAAAGTACTTCTGGTAATAACTATCCAAACACTCTCACTTCTCAGAATCACTTTTTCACAAAATCTATTCTTCACAAAATCTATTCTCCTCAGAATCTATTCTCCAGAAGCTATTCTCCAAACCATGGTTTGGTTTTATCCAAACACTCCCTTAATATAAGACTCTGTTTAACTTTTATTTTGATCTAAAATATAAGACTCCAATCCACTTTGTCTCTCATATTTATATATATTTTTTCAAAGTAGTCTTTCTAACAATGATAGTTGTAATTAATACACTTGATTACCAAAGATATTTTAGGAAAGACAACACCTATTTATGACAAATAACTAACTGAACTTACTTCCTTAATCTCCTTAAATTAGTCAACTGGCTTTTATAATTAGGATCGGAAGTAGTACAAGTTTAATAGTAAACAGTAATATTATAATAATACTCATTTGTACCTAACAATTTTTTTTATTTCATTAATTACCTACTACAAGTTTGATCGTAAACAGTAATATTATAATAGTACTCATTTGTACCTAACAATTGCTTCTTCTTTTTTGGCCTGCCATCTGCACAATTGTCCTTATAATTTGTTAATACAATTTGATAATACAAATACAATATCCCAAAGCTCGAGAAGTTTCCAGATGAGCGGACTTCCAGCTTGAAGGTGCCCTTATTTTAATTAGTGTTAATTGTCTAGATTATCTTTTCTCCAATGGTCGAATCACCAAACGCAAGTTTCTTTTTTTTTTTTACTTTTTTTTTATCCCATCAATCACTCAACATATCAATAATCAATAATCATTAATAAAGTAATGAAGGCTTCAAATTCCTGATGTTAATGATACTCTCATCTCAAGCACACGCGTGCTGTACAATGTGGCTAATTCACTGATGAGTTGTAAGGACTGAAAATTAAATATACAGAATTACAATAAATTATTGGCATGCTTTTAATTATTAGATACTAACACTTTATTATGTTTATCAATCTTATTAAAAAATAAAATTTTTAAAAACCACACATTTTTTCAAATTTAATAAGAGCCACTGATGTACCTGAAGCGGCTGCAAATTAAATTGGCTTACTTGTATTTTCAGTTTACCGGTATGCTTCTTCTGCTGTGCCAATAACTACAATAAAATTGCCATGCAAATTCAGATTGAAATTGTCGGTCATAAAAATCTTAAAAATGCAAGCTGTTGTAGGCTCAACATAAAATTCAGATCTACCAATCAGTTTATTTAATTATTTTTTGTTGTTGATAGAGACCGGTCAGTTTATTTTATTTTGCTTCAGCATTAAGTTATGCCTTTTCCTCCTCTCTAATGAATCTCAGCAAAATAGAGAGAGAAGTACAGGTAAAATAGGACCAATTTTTGAATTTCTTACGGAGACAATACGCCTTCTTTTACCTTTTCTCCCAATAGATTTCTCTCCACAGCAATTTTTTTTTTAACCTTCTCTCCACAGCAATTAAATCTTGTCTTGGCAAATCTGATCTTAAGTTCTTAACAGCCCTGTTTCTCCTCACAAAGATATTCGCTCATTACAGCTAGCTATGACGAAAAAGCCAGAATTCAAGCTCCTAGATGCCACCGAAAACCTTGAAAATGATTACCCATAACGAAAAGCAATGGCGTTGATTGGGAGAAGTCGAGGCGCGATGGAGAAAAATTAATCCACTTTTTTTCCCCCTCTTCACAGCTTAATTAAAGGAAATATATATGGAGATTTCAAGACTTGCCTTTGCTCCTCTGCGAACGAAAATGCAGCGCTTTCAATTTTTAATTGGACTTTAAAGAGACAAGAACAAGGTGTGAGTAGAGTTAAAGATTGAAACTTTCTTAATACAACCAAAAATAAGTGAGAGTTCCTGTTTCTTTGAACATAACTGAAAAAGGGTAATAATTTTTGGAGTTGCATTGGATATGGATAGTAGGCACGACTCATGACATCAGTTTGGCATTACAAGTAGAACTCAGCGAGCCACTTGAACTAACGTGAAAGCAATTGAACTCGAATGAAAGCATGTTTATCATTATTAATTAGTACAAATACCCCATCCTATACCTATAACTGTTTAGTATCCGGCCTTGGGGTTAATGATTTTGGCTAAGCTTAAAGCAAATCCCAACGCCATCGGCTCGGCTCGGCTCATTTTCGCTTCCTTCCTTTCCCACTTTTTAATTGTCAAATCCGCTTCTCCTTCTCCTCCTCCTGCTCCCTGTTTTCCTCATATCACTGTTACTCAGATTTTGAATCTTCCTGCCTTCAAATTCTTTTTTTTTCTTCTTGGTCATTCTCTATTTTTGAATCTTTATTGAATCCATTAGGACTCTTTGTTTTGGGTTATTTGCCTATATAATCTCTTGTTTTTCTTCTCTATAATCTAATCCTCCCTTAGGTTGGAAGTTATATAAAACTTGCATTCCAAGCGTGTTCTTTTTCTACTTCTGTGTCTAGTTTTGGAGGGGTATAGATCTCGGGCCGTTTCCCGAGGGAAGGAGAAACAGCAGATAAACACACTAAAGAACAAGCTGCATCTAAGTAATTGCTGGCGAGATCTCAAGGGGAAAAAAAACGAAGATTTTCAAGTTCCTCATTTGACGTTACTTGTAAAGAGACTGGAGGGTGACTTGTCGCAAATTTGCTTCCATCTTTTCCTTCCTCCAACTTTGTCCCTTTCTAGTGAGGTAACAGGTTTAGAGCCTCTTCTCCATAGCTGGGCCTCGAAACCAAACATTTCTCATGTATCCCGTTAATTTCTGGTCCCATATCACAATCTTAGCATTTTTATCGATTTAACCGAAGTTAAATCATGCATCTCTGCGTGAAAACCAGATTTTATCGATTCCCAAGCTAATTCTTCTTCATAAAAGGTAACTTTGTTCTGTCTCTGAACCTCAAATACTTCTCATTGGTCTCTCCTCTTCTGAAGATTTGTGGTTGTTGCTTCGAATTCCAATGAGTATGAGGAAAAATGGTAATTCTCATTCAGGAAGGATATTTAGTGATAGGAAATGGATTATACCATTTTTTGCCAGCTTGCTTGTGTCTGTTAGCCTGGTTCTCACAGCTATTCTTGGGGCGCTTAGTTCTTCTAACGTGGGAGAACAGTCAACGTTTGACATTATTTCATTTGCAAGATCAGAGGATTCAAGTGGGTATTTTGTGGAATCGGATTTGGAAAGATCGTGGAGTGCTAATAAGGTTCCAAAAATAGAGGAGGCACCTAGGTTTGCTTATCTTATTTCAGGCACGAAAGGTGATAGTCATAGGATGATGAGGACTTTAGAAGCAGTATACCACCCAAGAAATCAATATGTTTTGCATTTGGATCTTGAGGCTCCGCCCCGTGAGAGGTTGGAATTGGCAACTGCAGTGAAAGCTGACCCTACATTTCGTGAAGTGGAGAATGTTCGTGTCATGTCTCAATCCAATCTGGTGACTTATAAAGGTCCAACTATGATTGCTTGCACCCTTCAAGCTATTGCAATACTATTGAAAGAGAGCTCAGAGTGGGACTGGTTCATAAACCTCAGTGCTTCAGATTATCCTCTTGTGACACAGGATGGTTAGCTGAAAAACCCTTCTCACTATCTGGCTTCATGATTTTATATGCTATTACTGTTACTCTTGTCAAAACTCCAAAAGCTTGAGTTTGAAACTATGCTGTTTTAGAGTTGTTTTGAAAACTTGAAACTCGGTCCTCGTTTGAGTTTGTCCTGCAGGCAATAGGTATGTTTGTAAATGTGTTGAAATGTTGTTTGCCTGGAATCTTGAGCACAACCTTGTATTATTCCTTGATCATTTATTTGGTAAATTTACACTGGCGATTTGAAATAGAAAATTCATGGGACTTCATCCATATCCTGATTTTTGTGGATGGATGTGGAGGATAGATCTCTACATAACAGTTGGATTAAGTGATGATTGGATTAATCGGTTTTAGATTGTCTGAATGAATATTCATCGCTTCAGATTCACACAGTCTCCAAAAGTGTAGTCTGGCTTGCAATTACTTGCTTTGGTGTGGCTATTTCCAGTAGTTTATTTCTATTAGACCTTCTTGCCACCGTGGTCATCCTCACTTGAAATCAATTCTGTTGACCCTTAAGTAAGACAGAATTTAGCTACCTCATGTTATACTTTGGATGTTCCTAAGAGTGATATACAGTCTAATGCTATCATTCAGGCTATTTTGATAGTCCACTAGCAGACTTCAGAGGAATTTCATTAGTTGTTGAATTTTTTGTTCTTATATGAGCTAAAAAGTGAGATATAGCTCAAAAAGTTGTCTAGACAAAGGTGTACGAAACTCTTTGATTTCATAATTCGAAGTCTTATTGTTAAAGATAATTGTCTAGACAAAGGTGTACGAAACTCTTTGATTTCATAATTCGAAATCTTATTGTTAAAGATAATGTCAATATCTCTATGTAGTTGTCTGTGTGTTGGAGTTACACCATGTGCACTTCATGTACTTGAGTGGAGTTATATAAGCTGGTGGGAGGTGAAAAGATGGACCATGGCTAGGTATTTGAATGCTATATTGAGGCCAAAAAAGAAAAAGAATATTATGTATCTTGAGACGTTTCCGCATTTTCACTTTCCTTGGTTACTTCTCTCAAGCATACCCCAACTTCAAAGTTTATAAGCTTAGCACCTGCTGAATTGCATTTAGGAGCTGCACTTGATCAGCTAACTTTATTTTAAGGCTTAATTTTTTATTCCAGAAAAAGCTTTGATGGTTACTCATAATGTTTGGACGGGGATGTTGATAAAATTAAGAAATTCTTTCTATATTGGTTTTGGCCCCAGTAGAATTCATAGCTCCTGCATATAAGATTATGTTTGAGAATTTTATAGCCAATATCTTATAATCTTCTGGCATTTAGACACGTTGTGCTGCAAATGTAATTTGCTTTTGAGTCGTCTTTTCTACTCATTTTGGAAATTGCGGACACTTTCATAATTGCTTTAGATATAATCCATCTCCTCAGAAATTCTTCATCACTCATGAGTTTATCTAATACGATACATCACTCTTTAACACTCTCCCCTTTTATTTACCTCCCTGTTCCTTGTAGCTGTAATATACAATTGACGGTCATGAAAGTTTTCCCTTCTCCTTTTTCTTTGTTTTTTGTTTCATTTTTGAGGTTCAATAAATATGTAGACTTTCCCGCAGTGCATTGTGTTGGAGGTGCTGTTTGCAATTTCGACCTATTATCAGTTATATTTAATCTTTAAGTAGTGTTAGTACCAAAAAATATCTGCTTATGATGGATGTCAAAATGGGTGAGATGGCTCAACTGAAAATACCTAAGAACACATAAATTCTTTTCATTTTCTTGTTACATGTAATGGTTTTTTCTCAGCTGTTTTTAGCGTTTTGTAATTGCCCATGAACCTTCAAAATGTTCTTGTGAACGGAGATGTTTGAATGGAAATCAAATCATGATTTTAAAAGTGCTTTTACGTTATACGAAGTAAATATATGGAAGAGTTTGTCTCGTTTTGCAGAAAAATATTTTTTAAAAGCACTTTTCAATTGTTGCCAAACCGTAATCTGACACATATATTCTGGTTTTGCAGATTTGCTTCATATCTTTTCTAATCTGTCTAGAGAGCTCAATTTCATTGAACATACCCACATTGCTGGTTGGAAACTGTAAGAAAGTTATGACTGTTTGAATGCAATTAAAATGATGCTTTTCTCTCCATTGCTTCACCGTATCAGTTTACCAAGTTTTTCCATTTCTTTTTCCTGCCTCTGATATTCAGCAACCATAGAGCAAGACCAATCATCATCGATCCGGCCCTTTACTTATCAAAGAAATCTGCTATTGCATGGACGACTCAACGAAGAACACTTCCCACCTCTTTTAAATTATTTACAGGTACATTTATATCTATGACTCCACATGCATTGATTGGTTAATTGTCCATCATAAGCTTACACAGTGCAGTGCTCTTGTAATTGTTGCATAAAATGCGGCCTCAAACATGACATTTGGCTTGATGTGGAATATAGCATATAGCTCTTGATTTTTGCATAAACTGCTTTTGTGTTTGTTTCTGAGCACAGGTTCAGCTTGGGTTGTGCTGACACGATCTTTTGTGGAATACTGCATATGGGGCTGGGATAACCTTCCAAGAACAATTCTGATGTATTATACAAATTTTATCTCCTCTCCAGAGGGTTATTTTCACACAGTCATTTGTAACACTGAGGAATTTCAACATACAGCTATAAGCCATGATCTTCACTACATAGCGTGGGACACACCACCAAAGCAGCACCCCATGTCTTTAACGATGAAGCACTTCAACAAAATGGTTCAAAGCAAGGCTCCCTTTGCACGGAAGTTTGCTAAGGACGATCCGGTCCTAGACAAGATTGACAAAGAACTTTTGGGACGCACACATAGATTTTCTCCTGGAGCATGGTGCGTTGGCAACTCAACAGGAGGCGCTGACGCTTGTTCCTTTCGGGGCAATGATACTGTGTTCAGGCCAGGCCCTGGTGCTGAGAGGCTGCGTGAATTATTTCAAACTCTATTGTCTGAAGATTTCAAAAGCAAGCAGTGTTCTTGAATATTTAACAATCCAATTAGGATAATCTCAAGTGTAAATATGCGGTTATAGGTTACATTGATTCCAAAGGTCGGTATTTTTGTGCCCAATGTATCAAACATTCAAAGCTCAAAGTTAAGAAAGCAAAAGGCACCATGAGCAGCAGTTTTTCAGGTGTTTGTTTTATTTTGGTAAAAACCATCATTTGGTTGCCATTAGGGTCAAGTCAACCATTAAGGCAATTTACAACATGTATCTTTCTTTGAGTTACAAAGAAGTTGTTTTCGCTTAGATAGCAACTAGCAAGTGATCAGGAGATCACTTTCTATTACCAGCAATTAAAGAGGTATATTTTTCTATGACCATTTCCGGAGAAAAATCAGTGAAATATCCCCTCTCTACATCCAAACCCTCTTCAGCAGCCAGCATCTCGACTCGATTCTGCACCCGGTCGGCTCCGACCTGGTTTGGCTCCAGTAGCATGCAGGCAATTTCAGTTGAGTCTTCACCATGAACGAGCCCTAGTGTCTGAACTGTTGGCAGTCCACCGCCACGAGCACTAACCGTCTTTGCAATCCTCCTTGTTGCTGATACATCTGTGGACAAAATGGGTATGTTGTAGAGAGCCACCCAAGGACGTGCACCGATCATGGAGATGCCTTTGGCTTTTGAAACCATGATAGGTCCCTCCTCAGGGTTCTGTGGAAGGATCTCAGGCATCGTCCATCCTGCCCATTGGCTTCCCATGAAATTAGGCCTGTAATACCCTAGCTCTCGCCTGATAATGTCAAGGGGTTTCCCTGTTGGGTGTGCTGCAGCATACAAAAACACTGGCACTGCATTTCCCAGGAAAAAAAATAATCGTTCAAAACATGAATATGATAAATACTTCTCCACAACATTAGTACGTATTGCAGCGAGAGAATGGATTGAATATAGGAAAAATTACAACAAGGTTTCAAGAAAATAAGTAATCATAAAAAAAATCTTGTAACAAGCAATCATTATATACTCTTATCATTTTATGTACTGGAATTTGCCACTACATACAGTTCACTTATTGTTAGGCTTTTTTATGATTACATTCCTTCCTTAGATCTCAATGATTTTCCCCTGAATATATCGGACACTAACCATTGAATCGACTGCCAATGTCAGCAGCAACTGCTTTAGCAAGCCAAGCAGCCTCATCCAGTGAGGCACGACCAAGAGGGTGGAACAAAATATCATCCACAACGCCTAATCTTGGATGAGCACCATCATGTGATTCAAGGTTGATGGAGTTGAATGCAACCTCCGCCATGGCTATCACCGTTTGGTGCAAGGGGCTATATATAGCATTTCCTGTACAGTCATGAAGCACGTAAGATACAAGAGTGTACCTTGTTCTGTTGTAAGCTCTGTCGTCACATTTGGTTATGATCACGGTTTCTGGGTTCGCCCTCGCGGCTTCTTCAATGGCGTCAAGTGTTGCACTGTTTCGTGCTTCAGAGATGAACATCTTGCAGCATAGTAACATCGACTGGTCAACGGCTTTCTTGTCCTAACAAGTGAAAAATGGTCCAACCAAGTCAGCAAATACAACATACTGAGGACAGAAGTTCGACTCTACTTGCATATTATGATATTTAACCGGCTCATTTTTCCTTGAATGAAAAGATAACCTATGGATGACAGACATGTTAAACTTGAATTGAGTTCACTGCGAATTATTTTATTTTTTCCAGTGCCATATGGTTGCCCCATAGTTTTAAGAAAATTGCGAAACTAGCTCCGGTAAGTTAGTTAACGCACGTGACGACTGTGCAATAACTAGCTAGCCCTTGGCTAAATCCCTTGACCTTGAGGACGTCCTCAGGATCAGAAAGAAGATTTTGAAAGAACTACAGAAGCAAAATAAAAACTCTTTCCGACCTCCGTAAAAAAAGAACAGTGAAAATACGAACTTTCATGGTCATTCTGGGGGGGAAAAATGATATTGTACCAGAAACTCACCGATGGAGAAAATGTCTTTCTTACAGGGAAAAAAACCGACGATCATTGATAGAACCATATCTATTTAAGGATTAATTCATTATTCCCTTCCACTTTCTGTTTCGTTCCATTAATACTTGGATTATTCAAAGATCATTTCAGCAAAGAAAACCCAGAAAGATTTCACTGCAGAGACATAAACCAGGACAGGGGAAACAGAAAGAGAGAAACACAAAGGTCTTAGTAAGTACAATCTGTAGTTGCATTGCATGAATTGACACGAGAAACTTCTGCCAGTTACATCAGATTGATTGGAAGGTAAAAATTCAGAATCGAAGAAGTGGGAATAGATTTTCTGACCTTGCAAGTGGGATGGAAATCCATGGGTGTCGATTCAGCTAGGTGTGGTCTCTCTTTCTGAAAAGTGAAAACTCAGCGTCACGAGTGAATTATGGGGTGAAAAACAAAACAACGAGAAGGCACACAGATTAGTGCTAAGTGGTTGAGCCGTGGCACAATAAATAAGCCACTGGGGGTGACTCAGCTCTTCGCCCGCGGATAGCAACACGCAGAAAGGCGAAAGTCTACGTCTTTCCGTGTTGGCATGTAAGGAACTGCATTCTCAGAAAATAGTTTAATCTAATTAACGTGCGTCCCGTGCTCTCAAAGTGAAATCATTGAACTTTTATATTATAGACAGGAAAAGTACTGCAGTCAAAAAAAGAAGACGATGAAGTTTCGATAAGTGTGCAGCCTTGTCGTTTATATTTGTTGGAAATAAAATGTTACTGCCTCTTCTAATTATAAAAAATTAGTTCACTAACTTAAAGAAATGAAAAAAAAAAGTTAAGCTAGTTATTTATAATAAATAGATATTTTTTTTAAAAACATTTTTACTAATAAAGTATATTGACTAAAACTACTATTGTTAGAAGAACTACTTTAAAAAGAAATAGATATATACACACACGAAAGACAAAATGAATTGAGGTTTTACATTTAGGACCAAAATAAAAGTCAAATAAGGTTTTATATTAAAGTGGAGAGTTAGTATTATTTTCATATTTTGTTCCCAAATCTGATCCAAATGTTTTAAGAAATATTAACAAGTTAATTTTTTTTTTTAAGAAGATAGTACATTAGTACGTGACAAAGAATTGAAGACGCTTGGCTCCCCGGTGATCCCGAAAAAACACCGAAAGACGCTTGCTTATCCATTGGCTTGGGCGTGAATCACGTGCCGCTATCCCGTAGCGGCTCACATGCTCATCATCCTTTCGAAGGTCAGACAGTTGCTCCGGCTCTTATAAATAACTTTTCAATAAGAAAAAAAAAAATTTGTTACATGAAAATGTTTATAAATATGCAATAGTAGAATCCAAACAAGCCTTTCATATCCCCCAAATCATGATTAACAAACCTAATCTAATCAAATACATATTCGCAAGAAACTAAAAATCTAATCATTTCTTGCGGATGCATGATGTGTATAATTTTGTCTGAGTCCGACTGATTTAGTTTATATTTATTGAGTTTTCAGGCCTAATTTGATTAACCTTTATCTTATATACATACATAAACATAAGCATCGCCTTCAATGGCGTGTTGGAGTAGCGTTGCGAGAGATAATGAAGAATTGTTAACTGTTGCAATTTTTGGAAATTACAAAAATGGCTATATACAGTTCTGCCTCCTTCTCTTTTTATAAAAACCATCCCTGTCCTTTTATTAAAAATAAAAACATTTGACCAAATCACCATGTGAATAAATTTTTTTTGCAAAAATTAATTAAAAACAATATATATATAAATTGTGAGTTTGTTCTAAAAAATATCTATGGGGAAGAGAGTATAAGAGAGAATAGATAATGAATGAATATTATTTCAAGAAACAATATAATAGATATATTGAATTTTAAAATAAGTAATTAATTCGGAAAAAATAAAAAACTAATCAAAAAAAATTTGAGACATTTTTTAAATGTTTCTTATAAATAAAAACAAGAAAGAGATAATAGGTATTTCTTATGAAAAGCAATGGAATAATGCAAAAGAATTAAGAGTAAAGAGATAAAGCCCTGGTTACTGGTTTGACTCAGGTTATATGTCCAAATTAAACTGCCACGATCACAATTTACAAGAAAGAATCCCAAGGGATACTTCCCAATATCTCTCCGCTCAATAAAACTTGAGGCATGAAAAGATATTATTCACAACCAGCGTTAATGTGCTGATATGAGCTGCTGGACTTTGATACAATTCCAATAAGGGTCTCATGTGACCGCACTCACTTTCAAACTGGGAAATGTGGAGTAAAATCAGGACATCCAAGCCTTTATTGTGAACAAGAAAGCTGTAAGCTTTTCTTACCCGTCCCAGCTGGAATTAAGCCTGGACCAATCTATTTCCTACGTGAGGTCGCTTATTTTCTGTCTATTGATGAAGAACGACTGTTGCATTTAGCCATTGACAATCCGTGATGGACAATGGGCAGATATTTTAACGAAAAATAGAACATGTGGATATGGCCGGAATCATCTCCAAATAATAGAAACAAAAACTCAAGAGAAACTGGCTGTTTGACAGTGACATGGAATAATTATGAACGAGAAATTTCCCCCCAAGAAATTAGACGAGCAATAAACAGATAAACTAAAAGCCTGGATATTTTCTTCTATCCAAAAAGACAAGGTAAATAACGTATCTGAATTCGAAATATCCCTTATATATCATATATCTTATCTCAAATATCAAGAAATGAAAGAACAGATTGAATCATAGCCACATTTTCTGTTATTCAGATAGACAACGAGGCAAATAATGCATCTCAACGATCCTCTAAATAATTATATCTCACCTCAAGATAATATTACATGCTGCAAACTAGCCAATCACTTGAATAACTTCTGTAAAACCGAGTTCATTGGAATGATCAGCAGAATGGGGTCAACCTGCGAGAATTTGGACTAACATCATCTTATAATGAGACTTCACAGAATCTCATGAAAAATCTTCGGCAAATCTGGCAGACAAGGAACAAGGGTTCTTTGTTTTTCGTTCCCTCCTCAATCAAGTGGACCTAACTTCAAGTAACTTTGAATTATTTCTTCCTGTGAGAAGTCTGTAAAGTAGCCTTTCCCCACAGGAATACCCTCTTCCCTAGCAAGGCTCTCAACTTCTTGTTGTACTCTGTCTCCCCCAATTCCACTTGGATCCAACAAATTACAGGCTACCTCAATGACACCCTCACCATGTTCTAGTGCCATTGCCTGTACAGTCGGAAGTCCACCACCTCTCCCACTAACTCTTTTTGCAATTCTTCGAACGGCATTGATATTAGAAGATAACAGAGGGACATTGTAATTATCAACCCATTTAGTTGCTCCAATCACCACGACACCTTTTGATGGAGAAAGTTGAGATGGTCCGCTATCTGGATTGAGTGTCAAGAAATTGGATTTTGGCCCTCCGACCCACTGGTTTGCACTGGAGTTCGGCTTGAAATATCCTAATGCTCTTCTAATTGAATCAAGCGGCCTACCCTCTTCATGTGCTGCTCCATATAGAAAAACAGGAACTGCAGGGAAGTTATATGATCAGTAAAAGTAATGAAGCAAAAAATTCAAGCGGAAAGATGGACATATTAAAAATAGTTCTACAGTCAATTTATCAGTGAATCAACTTGTGTCGGTGAGATCCAAACCCCCATGAGAACTTTACATAGGGTATGTCAAAAACATCAACTTGACAGAAGGGGTTGATGGAAGGGTTTCTCAAATTTAAGAGTTTGGTAAAGCTCTCAGCCGTGGATACCAACCTTGCAAGTTGGAGCCCAAATCGTCAGCCAAAAGTCTAGCACTCTCAGCTGCTTGATCCAAGGAAGCATCTGCCAGCGGGTGACAGCAAATGTGGTCAACAATCCCCAGTCTTGGATGTGTTCCACAATGCATCTCAAAGTCAATGCTGTCAAACGCAGCCTTCACCATGGCAGACACAGCACTTTTCAAGTGGCATGGCTCAGAAGATGGGGCGGGAGCTAACTCAGAAACCAGAGTGTAACCAACTCTATTGTAGGCCACATCTTCAAACTTGTTGATCATTGGAGCTCGAGGGAAAAGCTTGGCGGCTTGTTCAATTGACTCCAATGCACTCCTGTTTCTGCTTTCTGATATATAAACCTTGCAGCATGCGAGCATCATCTTCAACATTTTCTTTCCAATTATTACCTGTCAGAGACTCATAAAAGTAAAGACTGAGACAGGAAAAACGACCACAAGCCTCCCCATCCAACCTGATCTCAAGTTCTCAAGAAGGTTTTTTTACACAGATTAAAGATATGACAGCAACAGCGACGAAAACAACATCTAATTTTGAGCCAAAGTAACCATATCAGAGGTAAACTTTTCATTTCAAGGACGCATTAAGCACTTTAAAAGAGTTAGTTCATGGAAATTTATCTCGACAAAAAAAAAAAAAAAACTCCCAGTTAAAAGGGGAAATATCATTAAACTAACGCAATCGTACATCAAGAGGACGAAGGGCCCAGGGAAAAAGAGAGAACGAGAATAAAAGAAGAAAAACGAGAAAGGGCCACGGTACATCAATTTCCATAATACTAAGATCATTAAAAGAGCTGAGGGTGGGTTGAACCATGCAACCACAGCCCGAATGAGACTCAAAGGCCACATAATACCAACCTTAGCAAAAATAAAATTCCCATATCGGGCAAAAATCCTACAACTAATGAAATATATTTCTTCTCCTTCTCAAACATCATAGAACCTTCTTCAAAACTCAATATCCTTAGCGTCTGAAGAAGATTTTGGATAGCCATCATAGTCTAGCTTCACGTGCAGTGAAGAACAAACCATCTTAAACTTGAGCCTCAAACTGTCCATGATTTCTTGTACTTGTAGATTTTCAGGGTCCAAGACCGGATACTTCTCAATCAACTCATTCATCTGCTTGATGGCAATTTTAACCCGCGAAGAGAAGCAGTTGGGGTCGACCCGAACAGCGGAGCTCCAAACGTCAACACAGCCCCTGTAGAAGCCAAGCTCTTCGCCAACCTCAAAACCGACTTTGAGACCCACTTGCTTTGCCTCGTCTTTGCCAGCGATTAGACCGTCTTTGTAGCCCTCGTCGTAGCCTTCCTTACGATGAGTTTCTTCTAGGTGAATAAATGAATCGAACATATCGTCTGACATCCAAGAGCAGAATTCTCAGGCAAACTAGTTTCGACCTTTATCGATGACAACCTTCTTGTCCCGGGGACGGTGTATCAGTATGCGGGACAAATTAACTTCCAAAGACGCAAAAAGGCTGATCTTGCCTGCCGCGAGGTCGACGCAGGGAAAGATGAAGACTCTCAATGGATAAACAAAGGCCTTCGCCTGGAGGCCTGGAATGAATTTTTACCACTCAAAACTTGTGTTTGGCATGTAGAGGCACCCGCCGGGATTCCCTTTTTTTTATAAGTTTGTTTGGTACGAGTTTCCGGAGGTTGTGAAAGACAAACAAATAGTGAAATGACAAAAATAACCCTCAATTATCCTGGACCACAAAATGCCTCATCGTTGCGACAGTGAGATGGGCTTTTTTGGTTCTGGCGAAGGATTCAAAGCATCGTCCCGTCGGACATGGGCCAGATGGATCTCAAATGCTCAAAGGTCACGGCGGAGCTTATCGGCGGCTGGCGGGTGAGCACATTTTAAAGTACACGAGCTTGTGAATGGCTCCTTGACGGTCGACAGGAACGGGTTTTCTTATTTTTCTGGTGTCAAAAACGTTGTACAGTTTTTTCCTATATAATTAAAACAGGGATTCGGTTCTACAGAATTTTCTCCCTTTGCGTGGTTAGCCTTTGCAACACTGACTAAAAGAAGAGCATAATCAAAATGCCATTGCACGAGAGCATTCGGTAATTATAATTTATAATTTCAAACAGAAATTTAAAATAATAAAAAACATATTGTAATTTGGAATGGGTTTATACCTTGTAAGTGAGCCTTGAAGAATCTGAGGGGAAGAGCAAGCAGGGATGAATGGCAAAATGAAAGTGCAGGCAGAGAATTTGAGGAACGAAGAATGGAAGAGGGGCGTGGTCGCTCGGGATGAGATTAGGGGTGAAATAGTAATATCGTTATTTATTCCCTGGAATGAAAGCCGATTCCCATTTATCTTGGGCCCCTAGGAAAGCCCATTCTTACCTAGATGGATGGAAGCAGCTTTCCCCATGGAAGAAAGCTTCAACTTTCAATACCAAAACAACTCATTTGTTATTTTCATTTTCCTTCCCCTGGTCCCCTTCCCTACCCTTCAAACGCATAGCCTTAACTCTTGTAAACAATTATGCAAAATATAAAGTGAGAATTATAATAAAGTCGCAAAAAAATAATTATTAAAAAATCTCACTAACAATTCAAGTAACACAAGTTCCAGAATTAAAAAAAATAACTTTTTTTTATAATTATTTTTTCTTTAAGATTTCATTGTAATTTTCCCGAATATAAATTTCTCTGTGTAACTTCATTTCCTGTAGCAATTCCCTGTTTTTTTTTTGGGGGGCTCCTGATAACAAACCATTTAACATTTGATACATATGATTAATTCAGCTTCAATTATATCTACAGGACTTAATATGAAGGCATCATTAGGCGATAAAATCCTAACTGTTCATGCCAACGGCTGTGTTCCTTATTGTTTAAAAGATTAGAATGACAACCCCGCGATACTTTTTCATGCTTCTGGTTTTTTAATGATTTATGAAAAGTTCAGTGTAAGGACTAACTCGGGAAAAATAACAGTTTGAACTTCAAACAACAGAAAATGTAACGATGGTAATAATAATCACGATTCAAAGAAACCCCAAGTACCATCCCCATAATTGCTTTATACAGACAAAATAAATTCCATTGCATTCCTATGCTACCACGTCATTGAACCCTCTTACTTTCATTTTCAAAAATATTTACAATAAAGCTAATTTATTAAATCTTAAAGAAAATACTTTATTAAAAATCGACAACCATTAAAAAGAACTAATTAATAATTAATTCATAAATTTATTTTAACATTTGAATATTTATCTTTTCCATTGGCCAAATTAAAAAGAATAATTTATTTTTTAAAACACAGCTTCTGAAAAATAATTGATTTGATCAAACTATTTTTATCCTATAGTAAAATAGACAAACCCTTTTATTCAAACGCAACGCGGATTCAATTCCTGCGGCCAATTATTTCGCATCAAGCAATCAATAGAGCAGATATTCTCTCCTCGAGAATAATTAATTTTAATTCCTCTCAAACCGTTTAGTGGTGAGAATGTAGGCTTCCCATAACTAGCTTACCTTGGAATGCTCTTGTACCTTAGACCAATGAAAGTACTACCTCCGTTCCTAATTATAAGAACCTTATAATTAGGATAGGAGGTAGTAATTCACTTGCAAATGCGGTAGTAGGCTAGTAGTTAAGTGTGGCTGACAAACGGCCAATAGGTATATAGTCTTGGAAAAATATCATCTCGCAAGATTCTTTATCTTCAAGGATTGACCAATAGCTAGCCAAAAGAATTATTTTCCAAAACAGGACTAAGTCTCGGACATGGCAAAGAGAAAAACCAGTGCAAACGCATTCTTACAAACTCTCCGGACCTCACTTTAGTGCCTCCACCAATGCCTGCAAATATTCAGAATTTACTTAGCAAACACCATAACATCGCTTCCCAAATAAGACACGCCTGTGATTAACAACACAACATTCTGAGACATTCTTTTCACCCAATGCGCAATATTTCATGAAATGTAATTCTCATCAATCTGAAGATTTTAGTCATGAAAGAGTATCCTATTAATACTATTAATTCCGGATTTCACAGTATGTTCGGTGAAGAGATTATCATGCAGATGAACACATCACATTGTCTTAAAAAGACCCCCCCCCCCCAAAAAAAAAGTCTCTAATGGCCAGAATAAGGAAGCAAATACCAGACATTTCAAAATAATCACACCCACAGCATTCACAGGAATGCCAAACCACTAACATGACACATGAGATAAATCATCAAAGATTTAATTGTTCTTCTGCTGAAAGAGAATGTCCAAACAAATATGTTTATTTTGGTAGTATTCTGGCTATAACACAATAACCAAGTATTCTAGTATGGTTAACTGAAGGCCAAGAAGAAATCTTCAGGCTCACAGAACTTGGCTGTTGCATAGGTCAATTATGAAAATAAATCTGGAGCTTGGATAATTCATAATAACTCAAGCAGCCCAACTAAAAACTGAGAAAAGAAAATCTTAGCCGTAGGATTGAAAACAAAAATAGAAATACCTCTTCTTTCTTGCCCTTGCCTCTAGTGAAGAACTTGTATCCTCCAAAGAAGAGCAGGCCCCAGCCAGACAAAGAAACAATTACAAACTGCAGGCAAATAGTAACTGGTGAAGAGATGTACGAACATGTTTCCATTTTACATAGCAGATCAGATGTAACTAATAGTTTAACATGCCGTGTCAAATTTGACAAATCTTTTGGATGGAGTGGATCTTCAATCTCAAAATTAGACATACATGTTCCTCCTTCCATTTAGATGGGTTCATTGGATCTTGCCAGAAGTTAACTTTAGGGGGGCCATGGTGATCTGCAAGAATCAAATGAGAAAACCATTACACGTACGTCAGAACTTTCCACTCAAGCAAATTGTAGGCCACAACACGATACAATATGTTCAAACGTCAACACGAGTACGAAGATGAAAAATGTATTGATTGGATGATGGCATAATAACTTTCCAAGTCATATTCCACCATCAATGCCAAAATATAATTTTTATTTCCCAAAGTTATTATAATGTTCATTAGCACGAGAAATGTATACAAAGTAACATCTACACACACCCAGAAAACAAATGGTGTTTGATATCCGTTGTCTACTTATTTATTTGTTTCTATACTGCCTTGTTTCATTACATCATGATAATTTAAAGATACCTTCGAGCAAGGATTCAGTTTTTCTCATCATTAAAAAAAATCCAACATTTAATCTTTTGGTTCTCAGCGAGGACGAGCCAACTATTCTGAGGCTTCCTTTGGGCGATAAAATGTGCTGCTTACTAGTAACTGAAAAGACTCACAACTCATCTTTCGAATAAAGGTAGATTTATAATCTCCATTGTACTAAAAAATTTCCCGTTCAATCACAAGCCAGAAAATAGCAAGAATCTAGAGCCAAAGAAAAAACATGATTGATTTTTTCCCCTTGACACAATACATTCAATTCTTGAGAAAGCAGAGATTCTTAGCTCCCAATAGCGCCTCAAACTATAAAAAACGCGAGGATTGGAAGGATTCAGTAATCCCAATTTCATGGCAACTGGGATCGGAGAATAAATGGACAATCCAAAACTAAAATTTACCCGCAGCTCCTGCCAGCCCACGCCTGTGGATTAGATTGGCGGCTTGAATCGGAGTTCTAGCAGAGGAAATACGGCTCAAAGACGCTGCTCGGCGAGCCGCAGCGGCTGCTAGAGTGGCCATGTGTTTCAACTCGAATACGCGACGCGACAGAGAAGAACCGAGGGACGAAAAGAAAAGGCGGACCAGACGGCAGGAGGCAAAAACCAACTCTTGCACCGGGGGACGAGTATGACCCGAGTCAGCCACTATGTTCGACGACGTCGTTTCCACACCTCATCTGACCATTTCCCTTTTTTTTTTTTTTGGGGTAATCATGTTGTTGTTATTGTTTGATTCCTTGGGCCAGAGCCTCCTGGTCTCGCATGTAGAATTGTTTGATCCTTCCCCATCATTCCATTTGTCTAAAACCGTTGATTGAGTTGACGGTGTATATAGATTGAATATTTGGTCCCTTTTTACCTGGATTATATTTTGGGAGAATGACATACAAGAACAGTTAAAATAAGGAATTGACACATAAATCCCACGTGCAAACTAATTTATTTTTATAGTAGTAATATCGAGTCATAGTGATTTTTCAAATTGGTCGAATCACATTTTTTTAAGGTTTAATGAAATGATATTAGCAAACAAATAAATTTCTATAAAGGAATATTTTGTCCCCAGAAATATAGATTCTATAAAAGTCAGGAAATAAAATATTGTATTAAAAGTTTCCCAGATTGGTTTGGCCTAGTGCCAAGTTTTTCCTTAGTAAGACTTGACAAGTTTGTTAAATACTACCTCTAATCATAAATATAAAAGTTAGTTGGAGATCTAATTTAATCATAAATATAAAATATCAATCTACTCTATTTTTTATATTTATTATTTTTTTGAGTAAAATACTCTAACATCCCTTGTATTTTGTCTTAATTACACAGATCTCCTTCTATTTTGAAAACATATACTTAAATTCAAATTGTTAACTCTGTTAAGAATATTTCAAAAAGATTTTTTAATTCAAATTTATATTAAAATACTTTTTAGTTGCTAAATTACCTTTCATAATACTAAATCCTAAAATTTTGGTTAAAACTATATCGAAGAATTTAATATTTTCTCTTTTACCTTAATTTTACTTTTTTTATTTTTAAAATTGTTGTTTGTTTGATGTTTTTATTGTATTGGGCCAAAAAATTAAGTAATTTAGTTAATACAAACATAAATTTAAATTATTTATATAAGTTTTCAAACTCACATAATTTATATTATGTGGTAAGAAAATAAGCATTCAAAATAGTTTCTAGCCATTTTAAAAAAATCTTAAGGTTTAATATTTTATGAGGAACTAAAATTATATAATTCTATAATATAATTGAAATTAAAAAATTTATAACATATTAAAAATTTTGAAAATACATGTATTAAAATTATTTTTTGTTGTATCAAACTTTTTTTTTATACATAAATGTTTAAACAACATTTACGTTAAAAAGAGATATTTTAGTCAAAATAAAAATTTAAAAGTCAAACTTAACTGTTAACTAACAGTTAGATCGATGGAAATTGAATATTAAAAATATAAAGGAGGTCTGTGTAACATATATTTTAATTTAAAAAGAATTTTATATACGTTTTAAAAATATAATGGAAGTTTCTGTAATTTAAGTAAAATAGAAAGGTAGTCAATATATTTTACTCTTATTTTTTTTTCTAAAATAGTCTTCATACTGATTTCACATGTTAAAGAGTTTTTATTTTAATGCACATGATTAATCAATATATTTTTTTAAAAAACAATACTTATTTACTACAAATAAATAATTTTTTATATTTTCTAATTAGTTATCTAACTTAAATTAAGTATTGGAGGTAGCATGTCATGTAGATGTAATCACCACGAGTGAGTAGTAAACATCATGAACAAAGCAAATCATTTTAAGCACTAACATTTCGTGTTATCTATCTTTGCACCGGATTATCTATACCTATGCGTAATGTAAGCTTAAGTATAATCTCTTTAATAAATTTTAAATTAACTATTTATCCTGTGCGATCACAATCAAAAGACGTATAAAATAATGCCAATTTAGGCACACTCCTTAAATCATATAAAAAAAGAGAGTCTTGGTTTATAATTTTGATGAACAAAGATCAAAAAAGAATATAATTATGAATAGATGAATTATCACTATCAGTTGAGAATCTAAACAATGAAAAGAAAACAATTGTTTATACAGTTTTTCTTTTAATTGATACGTTACCAAATGTCATATATTTTCCTAGCAATTTTTTTTAATCAATATTTTGCTAGCAATTCATTATCATACAAAACTCTACAACTTTCCAAAATTGTTTTCCTATGAAAACATCCATATTATGCATCAGCCTAGTCTAGTCACAACATTTTATTCATTTACACATAATCTATTGGAAAGTTCGCTGGCTACAATTGTTGCTGCAAATATTGCTGTTGCCGGCTTTGAAGTTGAATGAGCCCACATTTCATACTTCTCTCTTGCAACTGTCGTATATACAGTGTGAACAACATTAATAATGCAGATGATAAATCAAACGGATGCTCATATGCAAATGCTCTTCCTCATGTCATTCTAAGATTCTACTCGTATATCACAAGCCTCCAAATGAGAATTTACAAATCTTAGCCTTCTACTTTTACTTTCTCTTTCCCTGTCACAAGCCTTTTGGTTTTTAATAATTTTAATATCGGAACATACTGATTTTATGCTGATGGATGTAATTAGAGGCTTGATACACTTTTGTACATTTAGTACACACAAGCAATGGTTAATGGAAGTGGTTTTCATGCTTAGCTAAACCAAATCTTCGGAACCAGTTACAATACTGATCACTTTGATGAATATTATAAACTCATCAGACTTATCATTTTAATAAACATTGTAAGCTCATTAGATCTGGATCATTCAAATAAAATTTGGATGGTCCAGATTTAATTTATTTTTATTTTTATTTGTTCAAAATAATTATTTTAATAGGTTTAGAATATAAAATAAAGATAATCTCTTAATTATTATTTTCTCAAAAGATAATTTTTTTGTTTAAAAATAATTAATTAAAATTTTAAAATATGAACACTTCAAATAAGATTTAGATGATTCAGATCTAATGAGAATGAGCACTAAAGCTAATTTCCAAATCTTCAACGTGACATTTATGTTCAAATTAGTGCTAGCAAAAATGGCACAAGTCATATTTTATTACCTACCTCAAGAAAAGATATGTTCTGGAAAAGATCATGAACCTCATCAAGAAGCAATTTTTCTTGAGAAACAACCTCTGCTAATTCTGATAACCATGCTGCAACCTCATCAGCCTGTCGATAAAACAATCTTAATTAAAATCATTATTAGTTAATATTCCCTCCCCTCCCTTTTTATAGGGCCTATTAACTACTTTCTAAAGGTTTAGGAAATTAGCTAAACATATAAAAATTTCACCACTTTCCAAAATTACACTTAACAAACTAAAGTTACTATTTAAGCTAACTGTGAAAGGAACGAGGATGTTTTTAAAAATGTATCATTAAATTTTATAAGTGGTATTGTCTTAAGGACTAGCTAATAGATATTTCTTATAAATAGGATTAAAGGAGTAACAAATTAGCAAAATAAGAACATCAACAGGATAACCACATACCAAAGGTGAAAAACTTGTTAACGCTGACTTCATGGAAGCCATAAGTTCATATGCATGTTTTAGAGTAACAGACATTGATGGTATGTCCACCTGCAAGCATAAGAACTCAGAAAATTGTGATTTGATCCATGTTTAAAAGTTTAGTTTACAAGCATGCTACATTTATAATAAAATTAAAGAATGAGATATTCCCTCCAAAAAAAAAAGAAAGAATGAGATATATGGAAAAGTATGTAAGCATGCATAATACACGAATGTATTCAATATTCATTCAGTCAGTGAGCCTTTATTGAACCTACCTCTGCGCCTTCTGTTAAGGGTAATTTGCAGACAATAGAGTGCAGACAATCTTTAATTACAGTAATTGCTGACATGTGTTGTCTTTCCAAATCTCCCCATACTCCTAATAGCTTATTCTGCACAAAAGCAAGAAGACATGCTTAGTAAGGGGTCATATTTTTAACTCATTTTCTTTCAACAAATCTTTATAATTAGGTGAGTTGTAATACTCACCTGAGACTGTATTATAAAGTTAAGTTTCATCTCAAGCTTTTCTTTCTCATACTGCATCTTCTTTTGCATCACTGATCGTTGCAACTTCGTGACGCCATTCCAAGCATATAGTAAATTGCTCTAAAACACATTGAAATGCAGTAAACATTGTTATAAAAGTTTTAAAAAAAAGAAAAAACCGACAAAGTTAGTATCAATATTAGAAGTTGGAAGCCTACTTCTGCTTGAATAGAAAGGCTTTTGTTCACAGCTTCAGCTTTAGCATTTGCATATCGCCACTGCATCAATCGATTATCCATCAATCGAAGCTGATAAACAGTGTCTGAAGTACTCGATCCTGTTAAAGTTGAATTCGTAGATGATTTCTTGCCCCGGAAGAAATCGAAGCCCCTGTTTAGAAATTTATCCACGCCTTTAGCTACATGTGAGGGACTAGTTGGAGGCTTCAAGCCTGAAAACGAAATGAGTTTCTCCTTGCTTTCCACAGACATCGGTGGCGATCCTGATCGCCCTGGTGATAGAGCCCATTGCGATTTTGAACTTTTATATCCGGTGAGAGAATTTGCCCTCTTGATCGCATTTTTTATAGTGAATTTCTTTAAAATGGAAGAGTCCTCTGATGACAGTGGATGCTGAATGTTCGAATCCGAAGTACCTCTCCGGCTCCTTCTTGATATATGATTCATATACTTAGACGGAACTTCTATCCCTAATTTCCTGGTACTTAAATCAGAAGCACCTGAAGGGATATCGCTGCAGTCTGATTCAGAGTCCAGAGTCGTAGTAAAGGATTCCGATTTTCTGTACAGAGCATTCTCATCTACTGACAATCTACCTGGGACAATATTAAAATCCTTACAACTGGAATTCACAGACGAAGATGATTTTCCGGGAAAACCAAGTTTTCCCGTGTACCTCGTAGATCCACCAATAATAGCATGTTGGTGATTTTCTTTGGAAATATTACTATTACTGTTATTATCAAATTGATCATTCTCAAACCTCTTAAACACACTGCAACTCCTCTGCTTAGTGAGAGCAAAAACAGAGTTAGATTTTTCAGATTTCTCGTTACTTTTGCGATCAAGGAAGTCCCTGAGCCTATCATTACCAAGATGATCAGCGAGAGTAGCATCAAGGTTGTTTTTATTCACTGTAGAGGACGAAGAAGGCCAAAGCTGTCCTCGGAGAAGACCCGCGTCCTCTAGACTCCAATGCTTCCGGTTGTCGGTAGAGTCCGACGACCCCTGTTTGCGTCGAATCGGCGAGACAGCTCCTTGAGGAGACGCAAATTCAGCTTCAAGCCACGTGGTTGAGGTGGGAGAGAGAAATCGCGAACTCACTTCACGTGTTTTGCCTCTGCGATGCTTCGGCGACTGAGAAGAAATCACAGAATCCTTGTCTTTCTTGGTTGAAGACATGGTGAGACGTTTGAGTAAAGTGAGAACTGGGAATGGCAGCAAGTAGGGAGTTATTGTTGAGGGAAGATGCTTTCAGGTAAATCAAATGTGCGAAGAGACAATGAAAAGGGAGTAGGAGACGGGTGGAAGAAGAAGTTATTGGTGAAAGCTCCGCCACTTTGTGTGAGACGCCGGCCGTTGACGAGCGACCGGTTCAATGGGGAAGTGCCACGTGTCGACATATTCGTTATGTGAATGGCCTTAATTGTGCTTCTTGTTTGGATTACAAATGGCTAGTTTAAACTTCAAATTGAACATGTTAGTTCCTTCTCGAGTCCAGGAGGCTGTTGTCACCAGTATATGCTGTTACGCAGGACGACTTTTATGGAAATTAAGAAACAGAATGGAATAAGTTATGATTGTCAGTCATAAACCGTTATATATTATGAGAAAAATCATTATTCTGAAATCAAATCCTGAATTCTTTCAGAATATATATATATATATATATATATATATATAAAAGATAGTATTATTTTAAGGCTAGGCAAGAAGGATAAAGAATTTCTATATGAAATTACCAAAAATAGATGGACCCCTTCATTGAGTTTGAATGAGTAAGCATGCGCGCAGATAAGCTAGTTTTTCTTCTCTGTTTCTCTTGGTTGATCACATGTCTATCTTTCGGCCAACGGTACTTTTTAAGGAAAAATATAACCACATTATTTTGGGGAAGGCAAGGCACCCCGGAACTCAACTTTTGCAAAAATATCTGAAGAATTATCCAATCCCCAACTTCTATCTATATTTAACAAAGTCACATTTGGTTAAATAAAAGCAATATCAAAATCACTACCATTTAACCATGAAAAATTTTAGCATGTCAACATCTCGACAGGACGCAACCTTTATATAAAGAGCCACAATTTTTTTTTTGACGGACTAAAAAGCCTAAAATTTGTTTACGTCCATGGGACACGTGTGTCAGATTGCCAGTATGAAAATAGTATTGAACTTCTGAGGAACGTGAAATATCAACAAGGCTTTGAAACGTGAACATATATGGAAAGCTCCAGTGAAAAAGGGTTAAATGTAGCTCGCAGTTCTGCACGACGACATGGACTAACTAAATTCCTTCTAAGTTAATATAATCCAATAACAATCAACATCCATATGCTACAACAGAATATCAAGAATCAAATGCGTACTCCCATGTTACTACAAAAAAAATTGTACAGGCATTTCTTGGTTCAGGCTGCAAAATTCAAACCTCAAAACCCAGCTTGTCTGTGCACGGGATCACCCAACCTTCTGGTTCCATGGTCGGTGGAAAACGCACAGTTGCAATAACAACAGAGGATAATCATCAGTCAGCAGGGGCTTGTACGATTCAAGGCCTAGCCATGGACCAACGTTGAACTTAGGAGTCCCCAATAAAGCATGGTTATAAATCAATGAAAGTTGCATTTTTGCAATAAAGGATGAGAATAATCGACATATTTCTCCCACATTGGCTTGTACTTCTCAATCGCAATCTTCAACCATGGTTTGGAGTTTCCATTGAAGTGTAGCACAGCTCCTTTCTCTACTAACTGAGGATCAACAGTAGTGTAGCCGAATCCCAATACATGCCATAACGAATCCAAGGGTTCAGTTAAACCGTAAAATGTCAACAGGCCGGGTGGTAACGTACCAAGTTTCCATAATGTCCGATCAACATTCTTTTCCTGCCAGTAGTGGTAGATGCCTGTGACATTCCTTTTCCTCCATTCAACCAAATCAAATACATTCATCCCAAATGCCCATCCACATGCGTCAGGATCAAAATGTGCTCGTATAAGAGGATGGGAGTAATTCAGGTATTTATGGTATCTATGAAATGTCTCCATGCACGTCTCAACAGCTCCGTTAACATTGCCATTCAAATCGATGGAGAAAAGTGGAGAGAGATCCTTCTGAACCACGACATCATCATCAAGAAACACCACCTTCTTCAGGGCAGGAAAAACTTCAGGAATATAAAACCTTAGGTGATTAAGCATGGAGAGATATTTAGGGTTCCGAAACTTAATTGGCGTCTTGCCATCATCACTGTTGCCAGAAAAGTAGTAGTTCTGTATTTCCGAGTCTTGAAGTTGCTTAAGAACAGGAACATATGAAGCATTCAACCAGCTGAAGTCTTCAAACTTCTGAACCTCAACAGTCACTCCTCGGAAGTCATTCATGGCAAACCATGCCTTCATCGCAGCATAATTTATTTCATCAGTGACAAGGTGGAATACTACCATTTCGGGATTTTTAGAGTTTATTGCAGTTGAATTGACAACTACTGAAGTGGCAATTATGTTATCGGAGAACACGCAAAAGTGGTAAAGATTGTTGTCCTTTAGCTTCAGCTCCATTTGCCTCTTTTCCATCAATTTCTTTTGCAGATTAAGGTTTCTGAACCATTCAGTTGTCAGCCGGACACCAAGACAGTATAGGCTTTTTGGGACTTCTTCAGCAGCTATTTGTCCATATTTTGAACTCTTTTCAGATACAGAACTCGATTGTTCTTCAAGACTTTGAATTTTGGCCTTCAGTCTCATTATCATTGTTGCACTGTCTTAATGCAGCTGTTGGGCCTGGTATATAGCAATACTGCCATCTCACGGATGGAATGTTCTGATTCCATGGTTGTTAAAGGGACACGCCTTGTAGCAGCCTTCGAGAGCAGAATCTTTGAATTGCGGATCTGGGCACTTAATTCCCAAGCAAATTGAAGATTGTTACTTTCTTTTGCAATGACAACAAAAGCTTTCGCTAAGGATATCTGGTCATTCAGTTGTCTGGTCACCGAGTCGGGGCTTAACATCTCTTCCGTAATATTAAGGCCTTCCATAATCCTATCATGTTTGTACATTCTCTGCATAACATTGTTCAAGAAATAATATGTAAACATAAGGATGATAAGGACTGTATCTATTATCTCTTCCTCCTCCCTCCCACGAACATCATGACCTTAAAGTAAATCTTAGATTTATAATTTCATAATGAGCACTTAAGCATTCCATGGAAGCAACATTTTGACAATTTAATCAAGTCAAAGTTGTTTCATGCGATCATAGCAATCTCCTCTGAAGCCTAGTTTAACATTCTGATACGAAGTTCAGTCATTGTAAACAACATCATAAATAATATATATACTTCCTACTATTATAACCGGTCCTAATTATATCTTCAAACTAGTCTTATAATTAGGACCGGAGGTAGTATTAAGGAAAGAGAACATGTGACAACACGTTCAGAGTTAAGGCAGTTACAGCACCTGGACACACAATCTGAATTACATTCTAGCTATCCCATAACAATTTTCAGCAGTACGGTGGTCAGGACACACCTTAGGCAGTAATACCACGGAAGTAAATTAGTAAAATTTGGATTAATTTCAAATGGAAATTAGTAATTTTTCTTCACTTGCCTGATATAATTTGATGAACTAAATGTATCGGCTTTCAGCAAAGATAAAAGACTAGTATATTAGGAACTGGGGGGGGGGGGGGGGGGAGAAAGAATTGCACATCATTTTGCGCGTCAAGAAATCCAGAAGTGGAACTGTGAAATCTAAACCAGCATAACAATAGAATTCTAAATTAGAGCTAAGGCGGCCTACAACAAGTAAAAGCCAGTAGAAATAGTATTGGTTCTATTATTCAAAGCAGAATTTGATTCAATCCATTCCTCAACAATCCCTTTGAAATTTTAAGTAAAAACGTGGGATGGAAGAAAAAGAAAGAACATTGAGAAAAATATATCACATAATTGAGAAGTGACAATTTCGTCGCACAAATATATGCACGATTCCCAGGAAAGCAGGGTGGCCAAATGATACATTTTTTGAAGGAGGAGGAAGGAAGATGAGTAACAGAAACATGCAAACCATCTCATGAACAATCATCATTCCTAGGT